AGAGGAGAAAGAGTGAAGCTGGTTGCCTTGATCTGAAAGGTAAATCACCTCCAAGATGTATGTGTGGCTTTTCTTAAAGGAGAATAATGTCACTGCTAAAGCAGGGAGACAAACCCACGTTTAATCCATCAGCTCCCTTGTCTCACAGCTCCTTGTGCCCCTCTGGGGTTGGGTTTAGCATCTCCCCCTTGTCTGGGGGTTGGTCTCCCACTGATTCCACCACCCTCAGGGAATGTGAGTGAGGAGAAATAACTAAATTATTGATGGAGACGAGTCATTTTTGATTGAGTGAGTTGCAAGTGCTCTGGAGACTTGAAGCCACCTCGTCCTAATTTTGGCAGATGTAATGAGGCTTTGACTGTAAGGGGATCTTTGGGGGGATCTTTGGGGGGATCTCCAGGTTGCTAACGGGGACCTGTGTGTTTCCAGGCACTGGGACTGGACCAGGACAACGAGAAGGGTTTGTACCGGCGGGGGGAAGCCAGGCTACTGATGAACGAGTTCGAGCTGGCAAAATGTGACTTTCAAAAAGTGCTGGAAGTGAATCCACAGAACAAAGCGGCGAAATCTCAGATCTCTGTCTGCCAGAAGAAGACCAAGGAGCACAACGAGCGGGACAGGAGGATCTACGCCAACATGTTCACCAAGTTTGCAGAGAGGGACGCCAAGGTGAGTGGTGCCTGGGTTTGGGGCGTCTGGCTGGTTGCTCTGAAGGGTGCTCAGCAGGTTGGTGGTGAGATGGATTAAAGCTGCTTCAGTCAGGCTGAGGATGGAGGGTTGTCTGCCAGAAGAAGACCAAGGAGCACAACGAGCGGGACAGGAGGATCTACGCCAACATGTTCACCAAGTTTGCAGAGAGGGACGCCAAGGTGAGTGGTGCCTGGGTTTGGGGCGTCTGGCTGGTTGCTCTGAAGGGTGCTCAGCAGGTTGGTGGTGAGATGGATTAAAGCTGCTTCAGTCAGGCTGAGGATGGAGGGTAGAGCCTGCTGCAGTGGGAGGGAGGGGGTTATTTCTTGGCCTCTCTTACGCAGAGGTGCCATCAGGGGGTCAGTCATCAATTAA